GGCCCGCCTTCTGGGTGTGAGGCGCGTTGCTGCTTTTGTGGAAAAGGAGTCGTAACCCTGCGGCGGATTGTAGGTGTTTATGTTCCTTGTGCGTGAGTTTCGCGGGAAGGCTGGCGGTCCGCGTCGCGAAGGCTGAACCGGAGCTTCTGATCAGAACAGGCGTGAAATTGCTGTGAATTCTTCTGTTATTGTGCTATGGATGGGAGTGTGTTGTGTATGCGTGGTTTTTCTTTCGGTTTTTTTTTTCCAGCGCGCGTACAGTGGAAAGGATTATGTGTGCATAATACATGAGGGTTGAAGTCTCTCACACGCGCACGCATCTGCTGTTCCTTGCGAAGGAGCGTTAATGCGATGGGAAGATTGGGGAGGTGAGGGGAAGGCTTCGCAGTTTGGCTGCTCCTCCAGCTCCAGAGCAGAAGAGTATTAGCAGCCTGATCTTTTTCCAGTGAGGAACCAGCCTCGGCAGACGAGATTTATTAACACGGTAAGAGATGTGTGTGTTTTTGCCTGGTTGTATCAGTCCTCCCTTTCCCAGTCTCCCCGGATACAAAGCAAAGGTGATCACTTTGGATCACTGATCCTTGTGTTTAAAAACCAGACAAGCTTCCTGTAAAGATCTGTTATTGTTTAGACGTTCTTCAGAGCTTCAAAAAACTGGTCACAGTATCGCAAAGCACTCTGTAAAGGTCTCTTTCAGGAAGCTTACTCCTATCTTTATCCTTCAAAAATGAGCTTATCAAGCTGCTGTGGTGACTTGTATAAATTGTTCAACCGGGAAGAAGTATTTAAAATGAACACTGAATTATCTTAAGAGTGAACACTCCTATTTTCTTTCAAATGGTTTGTGAAGCTATTTAAATGCTGCATACATTTTACTGAAATCTTACCTGTGTTATATCAAGGTATCAAATAAATTAGAAGTATAATAAGCCAAAATAACATAATGGATAGGAACCCAATTAGCTTTCAAAGTTGATAATTACTTTTATTTGTGAGTTGTTATAGAGGGTTTTGTGTTTATCATATTTTTAGCCCATTCAAGTTCAGTTTGAACTAATTGGATCTCTTCAAAGAATCCATTAAAAGTGTTGCACTCTGAAAAGTTACGCTTTCTTTTGTAAAGCTATTACGAACTGTGTTAAGACTGTAAATTTTGAATTAATGTATAACAGCAAAAGGTCATGCAGTACTATTTTCATAATAGTTCTTCATTAAGCTTTTCCTCTTGCTTTGCCTTCCACCTAAATCTGTATAATTTGATACTATTTATTTCAAGATTGGGGTGTATGATACATTCTAAAGCTGTTTTCATTGATGACTCATAATTGTGTTCATAAAACACTCTTCTCATCATGGTTAGATTATGAACATCCTGTCAAGAGTTTCACAAATCTACATGTGTATTAGATCTGGGATAACACTCTGATTAACTTTTGTTAAAATATTTGTACCAAATAACTTCAGGGGTTCTTATATTCTGTCTATTGCTAAATTCTTTTACAATTCTTGGAAAGTTATGGTAGAACAGCTTATGTGTTAATACTTTGCTCATTACCATATGAAAAAGTTCAACAAAGTTTACAAAAACATCAACAATGCTAAATAAATTATTCTATGGAGTTCTGAATTTTGTTTTTAATTTTGAATGTTGGTGGAAATTGGAAGGAATATCCTTAAGTTGTTCAAGAATAGGATGATTTTGAGGAATGTGTATGAAAAATATACAATTCAATCTTGCTAGGGTATATTCTATGCTTTTAGAGTGTTAGTGTCTGGCTTAAGCAAAAACTATTTTCTGTGCAAGATGATAAACTCTTGAGTACAGTATATGAGCTTGCTTCCTGTAATAACCAGTTTGAATTTTCATAAAGGCTGCTAAAGCAGGGTAAAGCAACATCCTCCTGCTTTATAGCACCTGCAATTCAGAGAGAAACTGATATGCAGTGGAAAATTGCCTAATATAAACAGAGTTTGAAAAACCTAATTTCATGTTTGATTAAATTTGTGTTTAGTCTTGTTACTATACTTCTTTGATCTATTTAAAAAAAATATAAAGTGCACTTTCATTACAAAAATTGGTTGTAAGTTTGTTTTGACAGGAGAGATGGCAACTGAATTCAGCTCAGTTTCTTAAATATATGATCAGCATTGACAAGCTAATAACATTTCTTGACAGATACACGTGGCTGTTTTATGAGTACACAGTAAGTAAAGTAAACTATAAGAAGCAAGGTAGCTGGAAAATTATTATATACATTTGCAATATGGCAGGATTTACATAGCATTAAACCATGGCTTGCTTTCACCTGATCTGCTGAATAAGTAGTATGACTTTGGTCCATGTAATAGGCTAACATGTAACTCAAGGTTTATAAACCATAATAGCTCAGTTCATGCAATGTGGTTGCACTGAGTTACTACCAAATAAGTCATATTCAGTCTTAATGTATGTGGGGTTTCACTCTTGCTGAAAAAGCAGGCTCACAGACTGGGGGTATTTCTTGACTCCATATAGCCTCTGAATGTTCAGGTGAATCTGGTGGTGAGGGATTCCTTCTTTCTACTGCGTTTGCATTTCTTGATTAGGGCTAAACTGGCTCATTCATTACCTCATGAATAGTTTGTTGTAAAGCACTTTACATGGGAGATGCCTTTGAAAAAAAATCCAGAAACTGCAGTGATTCCAGAATCCTGTGGTGAGACTTCTGTCTTGCATTCCCCATTGGAAGCATGTAGCACTTGTCCTGGCTCAGTTGCGCTGGCTTCCCATTGCTGTCTGAGCCAAATTCAGAGTGCTTCTTTTGACATATAAAACTCTTTACAGATTTGTCTTGTCTACCTAAAGGAACAACTTCCCCATTGTGTCAGTAACTGGGATTTCTGTTCATCCTCTGTGGGCTTATAGCAAGAGCAACCGAGGAAGGAAGCCCTGCTAGACATGATTAGGTCCAGGGCCTTCTCAGTGGTGGCACCAATATTATGTATGGTACTGTACTCTTGGTGAGTACAGACTTCATCCCTACTGGATGATTTTAGGAGAAACTTAAGAACCTATTTGTATAAATAAACATCCTCTTGTTAATTCCTAGCATGTTTATGACATCATATGATGGATGATTTGGATTCTAGATATGCTTTGTATTGTTTTGTTTGATGCTGTTTAAATTCATCTTAAAAATTGTTGTCTGATTCTATATTTTATCAGATAAACTGTCATAGGCTGGCTTCCCAGAAATGTCCAGATATAAATTTGGTAAAAAGTGAGTAAATAAATAAATGTGTGAAGTTAGGCTGAGAAATAATGATTGACCCAAGGATATCATGTGAACTTCATACTTCAGGTATATGAATTGATTTGATTATATGGCCAAAACACATTCACAGTTGCTCATGTTACTCAAAACAGAAAACTACCCTAAGCAAAACATTAGTAACAATACCGTGTTTTCCATTTAACCGCGGCACAACATTTCTGTTTGCCAGTCTGGCCACTGTTTTTCTGATTGCCAATCCTAATTCAAGATGTCCATCATAATGCAGAATAAGAATGAGGAATGTGTGAGCTATCAGATGTGCCAAAGTCCAACTCCCATCATTCCTGGTGGGAATTGTAGCTTAGCATTATCTAGGAGAGAAATTGATTCCCCATCTCTGATTTACAAAATCCTAAATGCTCAAGAAACTTTTTTTTTTTTTTTTAGCAAAACTGTTTATTAGAGGCATTCAGTTGTTACAGAATCGGAAACACAATTAAAAATAACCAAAGAACATGCTTTAGATCATTTTTTCTTGGTCATAAAGTTGCCCTCCTAATGTAGACTAGAATTCTCATAATCCTGCTATTTATTATAGTTGGGGTTTGTGGGAAGTGAAATCCAAAATATCTGGAAGATTCCAGGTTGCCTATTCTTGATTAAGTGATAGGTTAAGATTAATCTGTAAACCCTGATTAATTTAATTTGGATCTTGCATTGTTTCATTATAAAATAGTTTAATTCTTAGTTTCAGTTTCTCCTAAAATAAAATGTTATGTGGTGGTATGTAATCTTTTAAAGATACAGATAAATACATCTGAGAAAACTATATTTCAAAAAACCTGATCATATTCTTTAGTGCTGTGTGGTTGCAGGATTTGGGGGTCGTCCCAAATCACTCCGTTTTTTGTTGCTGTAATAGTTCAGATAAAACAGGATGACAACCTATAATGCCTGGAGCTACCTCTGACCATGAGAAGTCATTACAAAGTTTCTTCTCATTTTGAAATGGTAACACATGGAAACTCTAAGGAAGAAAGTTCTTGTTATGTTTAACTAACATGCTGTTGGGAGATCACTACTTCCCAAGCTAAAAAAAAAAAGTTATGCAGTCTCTGAATACAGTAGTTGTTCCTGAAGGGGGCTGTGGGATTTGTTCCATAGTTTTTATGTTAAAAGCAATTAGGGAATAAACTTTAAAGATTTACTCCTTTATTTCTTTACATAAACAATACAAAAGTACTGTTGAGAAACTGAAGTGTCTTTTATTAAACTGAAGTAATTTTATTTCAGTGGCCAAAATGAGCTTTTCCATTGAGGCTTTTATTGTGGAGTTGCCCTGCCTGATTCATGGAATTTTACATGGAATCCAGTATTTTTCACTGTTTTTTTTTTTTTTTTTTTTGGTACTGCAAAAAAATCAGGGGGGGAAAAAGAGACAGAATGACTATACATTTACATCTTGATTACTAGTTCTAAGAGCCATCTGTCTGGAAGTACATCAGTTTAAAAGATTGGTTAGGACCATAAGCAACATTCTGGGAAAAACAAAACAAAACAATTTATACTTGAAATGTTTCTTAAAGGAAATATAAGCAATTGTATGAACTGTATATATACAAATGAGTATGAAGCATTATCTATTTTGCTTTATGTATACATAATAAACTCCTGAGGTTTAAATGTTAATGTTGTAGATTTTCAGAGGAAGGTAGTTTCCTGGAGTGTTAAGTAAAACTAGGTTGTTATAGTTTCCTGGAGTGTTATGATAAAGAGTTTCCCCTCACCAATTTGACTGGCACTTGTTCCATATTATGCTGGTAACAATTGTGGCACTTCTGCTTCTGTATTAACTTATGGGCTTAATATTAAATGGCTACTCTGCAACCATGAGCGGCATCAATGTACAGTGGTGCTTAAAAGTTTGTGAATCCATGGTAAAACTGTTATATGCACAAAGATGGAAAGATTCGAATGGTTGGTGAAATTGACAGATCTTGCTGAGATGGATAAACTGGTTTATTTTATTAGAGAAAAGACAATATCTACATTTATTGGTGACTGGAAACCCCTTATGGACTTTTTGTATAAAAATGAAAAAAATGAACTCGTGATTTATGGTTTTGATGATTAGACAGGATAAATCACAGAAAGAAGAGACTCAAGATGTAACTTTAGAGACAGAGGTTAAAATATAATTGTACTTATAACTACTGTGAAGAATATATTTTGCTCTTTTTTCCTATTTTCTTCTTTTTTCTTTTCTTATTATACTTCTAACTTTTTGTTATTTCTTTTTTTACTTTTTCTGTTCTAATATAGTTTGTTGTGATTTTTAATATTCTTAAAACCTTGTGTGTGTGTGTGTGTGTATATGTTTGTGAACCCTTTTGAATTTTCAATATTTCTGCAAATATGACCTAAAACGTGATCTGTTTTCCACGTATCCTAAAACTAGATAGAGAACCCAGTTAAACAAATGAGTCAAAAACATACTTGTCCATTTATTTATTGAGGAAAATGATCCACAGCTACATACAGGTAGCCCTTGAGTTACGACCATTTGTTCAGTGACTGTTCAAAGTTACAGTGGCACTGAATGAAGAGACTTACAACTGGTACTCAAAGTTCCAGCTGTTGCAATGCCCTACAGTCACATGAACAAAATTTGGGTGCTTGGCAACCAGTTTGCACTTATGACTGGTTGCAGCGTTCCACGGTCATGTGATCACCATTTGTGATCTTCCTTGCTGGCTTCCCAAAGCAGTCAATGTGGAAGCCAGCAAGGAAGGTCGCAAGTTGTTCTGGTAAGTCTCCAACCCCACCCACAGCCTTTCTTTGCTCGCATGCATCACACCCTTCTTCCCCCCTTTGCTCGCACACACACCCTGCCCTCTTTCCCTGGCCTCCTCGCGATCACACAATGACCCCACACCCTCTTTCCCCAGTCTCCCTGCAAATTCACATATAGACACACCATTTTAATTCTACCAGTCCACTATCAGGCTGATCTTGTGTGAATGGAGGCAATTCAACACCATTTTTACCCTCCCCAGGAGTGGTCGACCAACAAAAATCACCCCAAGAACAAGGTATATAATATTCCGGGAAGTCTCAAAAAAACCCCGGTAACGTTTAAGGAACTAAAGGGCTCTCTTGCATTGGCAAATTTCAGTGTTCGTGAAGTCACCATCCGAAGAAGAGTGAACAACAGTGCTGTGCCCTGTGCACTGTACTCTTCAAAAAGAACACTGCTGCCCATCTATAGTTTGCAAGAGACCACGTGGATAAGTTAGAAGGCTTTTGGAAGAATATTCTATGGACAGATAAGACCAAAATATAAATTTTTAGCTTGAATGAAAAGGGTTCACAAACCTAAGGACCACTGTATAAAGAATGAATGAATAACATTTTGCATTAAACTTGCTTTATAATACAGTGTTGAATTGCCATGTTTGGAAATATTTATTTAGTATTAGAAAATTGGATTAGTTGTATATTTAGAAAACACTAATATGATCTATTCTATTATTTTATTTCACCTGACAAGCATATACATTTAAGAATAAAATACATAGTTATGCCCTGGAAGATTTTCAAAAAGTTTTTGAAGTAGTTTATTTTTGTCCTTTCAAAACCAGCTTATTTTGAAAAATCTTACTCCTCTGACATTAGTATTTCTCTTCATAGTGCTTTCTTTTGGTTATAAAAAGGTTTTAAATCACTATTGGGTGATACGTGTAATTTAAATTAAGGTGCAATCCTGTCCATTTATAGTCATGAGTAATTAGAACTTTGGAATTAACTTTTGAGCAAACAAGCATAGGATTGTACTGTAAATGTTATACATTATTTTAGAATGTTCAGATTGTTAGAATGAATATTTGAAAGCATAGCAAGTAATGTAACAAAGACAGCAGTGACTGTGCAAAGTTTAAACAGTCAGATTTAACGTTCTCCCCCACCTCCAGTTGAAAAAATGTTGAAGCTGTTTAGGCTTTGTATAATTGTACTGAATATAATTTGTTCATCCCAAACTGGGAGAAGGCAGTGCTGGTTATAGTGTCAAAGCTTCATAAAAGTTACCATAATTCCCTCTCCCCACTCTATACTCCCAAACAATGAAGAGCTATAGAAAACAGTGGGAGGTGTTAAGGAAGTATGAGGATTAACTTGAGGAAGGAATATGATTCTGTTTATTTCCATCCTTTGAAGCAGGTAATTCATGACTGGCTGGCCACATATTATGTTTACTATAAGTGAATGGCACCTCCAATTGGAGTCATTTTTATGATATACATGTGACTTAGAATCCCAAATACATATCCAGTTACACAACAAGGGGAAGAAATTCCTGATTTTAAATAGTTTCCAGAAATTAAGCTGTGCCTGCAGTATAGGATAGCATTAGGCATTCCATCTTTGGACTTCCTCAGTATATGTGGCATTATGATTACCCTATCTCCTATTTCTTGTGCATCTATTTATATTTATATTGAATTGTATTTGCATGTGACCATGTGGTTGCCTGTCATTAGTTGAAAGAGCTATTTGAGTTCTTTATAGCTATTTTGATTTCGCCACTGTAAACGGTGTTATCTGCAACCACCCACTCCTACCTCCATTTATATCAAAAGATACTGGTCCCAGTTGTCAGGTTCGGCCCAAAGAACTCCACGAGACAATGCAAATACAGTTCTGTTGCGTTTATTAGCTTCCACCGCAAGACAGAATCTCACCAGACTGAACCCAAATTCCCAAGCCAGCCACAACACTGTGAATTCCTTAGGGAGGTGCCAGCCTCATCTTCTTGAACTTCCCACACTCCTGTTGGGGGCTAAGAACATGCTTATCTCCCTGAGTATGGCTTCATAAGTCCATTCCATCACACCAGTATAGCTCTTTGTATAACTTTGTTTAATTTTTTTAAATTGTGAGAACTTTTCTGTTTTTGCTCTAATTATTGTGTAATAAGTTACAAAAGTCAACTCAAATTTTATTGTGAGTTTGTGAGTTTACTTTGTGATATCACAAGTTGTGATATCACAAAGTAAAATGGAACTATAACAATATTTTTTAAAATGTTGGTTGCATAGAATATCTCTGCAAATTATAGCAGGTCGTGTAGAGTATGTTACAAACTTAGAAACATAATACTGTTCATCA